AGTTCTAGATTGGTTCATAACTTGATAACCTGAATAATTGCTTGGTTTTGATGTCCTAATCCATGAGACATCCTCTGACCTAGCGCCTTTCCACCATTGTTTACAACCGAGTTTACTTTTGTTTTGCTCTGATATTATCGTGACATTTAAACCCCAACTTCAATCGCTTAGCTGAGATTTGTAATCCATAGAATTAGAGTGTATTGCTGGTCCCTTACGAACCTCACTATTCTGCATTCGAATTAGTGATACCTAGGTTTAATCTTATAAGACCCGACCAAGGACTTTCATCAGTAGAAAGTGCATAATTTTTATGCGTCATTTAGGTGATTCAAAATTCCTTTTTCATATTCCGGATGCATCGACAAGTGCTTGGGTCCTCCAACAAGGACTATGGTCTTCTGAAGATTCTTATACTCAATTCCGGGTATCAGTCATGTTGCATATGGTTTAGGTGCTCCTATGGCTACTTACAAAACCAAGGTTCGATTGAGGCTAAGATTTTCTTCAATTAGAGTTGAGTAAGGTCATTCCTCCAAGGATTGATTTTGTTGATGAAACATGATGTATATCGATAGTAGATGTAGAGTATGCTTGGGTTCCCACTAAATGTTGTAACTGTGGACAGTTGGGACATAAATTCCCTGGTTGTTTGCAATATCTTCCTATACTAGTGAGAAAGACTATCTCAGAAAAGATAAGTTCTCCCTGCGAGTTAATCTCTTTAGAAGTTAATATTGTGATGCCAACGGTCTTACACTCTGATACCATTGTTGTGTCGGTGCCCCACTTTTAGAGCAAGCTTTTGGTCATCATGCTGACCCGATCGAAGATCCATGCCCTTCTCCCTGTTAGTTTCTCTCTGTAGAAGTTAGCTCCACATTAGATATCCCTCTGTTGAGTCAGCCGTTACACCAAGTGTTAAAGCCTCTGTGTAGAGTATTAACAATGTTGCTCCAAGATTATGCGTGACATCGAATAACACATCATTGGTTGGGAATGTCCATGGATCTAACCGGTTCTTAGC